GCTCCGACCCCATCCGGGAGGCCAAGACTGGCAGACTCTTGGAGGCCGGGGAATGAGCACGAGCACCGACGCAGGGGAGCACCTCCACCGGGGGAAGATGCTCCTGGATGTTAGTGCTGGTGGAAACCTTTCGGCCACCTTGGGAGCCCGAAAATAATAGCACCATCGCCAAGATCAGGACCATCTTCCCTCCGTGGAGGCACGCCGCCGATCTTGGTGTGGGTGTCACCCCCTAGGCCTCCGAGACTCTATGAGATTACGGAGGGATCCGTATCGACATCTCCTGTTAACACATGGCCTCGCTTCTGCTGGGCCTGCGCACGCTTGCGGTGGAAGGGCTGTTCGCTCCCGCTTCCGCAGATTGGACCCGCGAGGGAACAGGTGTAGTTTGGGTGTGCCCAAGTGGCGCCAGGTCTTCAAAGCCAGCAGCGGTTACTCATTTCATACGTGTTCGTCTCCGACATGTCATAGCTTTCGGAATATTGTTATTCATGCCACGCCTCTACCTCCTCACCTTCCTCCCGCCTTTCTCACCCACCCAGGCTCACATGCAGACGAGCTGAAGCTCAGATGCACTCATACTTGGACTCACTCGTACTCAGGCTCTCTTACGATCAAGCCCACTCAAATTCAGACCTACTCATACGCAAATCCCGTGGCATCCAAAATCGCTCCTACTCAGTCGCTGAAACTCACATTTACCCGTACGGTATGTCGCCCCCAAAGGTCTGAACCCCTTCCCCGGGACTGTTTTTTTGTCCTGAGTCGTTGTTTGCCGGTCCCGAGGCCCGGCGAGTGCAGAGGCCGAAAATAAGAAAAAACCTCACGTCGTGTTTTTTTCTCAACGCGAGAGGTCTGGGGTACTTCGACCCACTGACACACAGACTCACTCACATTCGTACGCACTGCTCGGCAGACCCGTTACCATCGCGGTGCAGCAGGCATCGCACCTGGTCCGCTCTGTATGGGAGGTCGACGGCTCTATGCGCACCTAGGACGGTTCAATGCGCGCCTAGGTCGGCAGGGGCCTGCCAGGTAGAACGCCTGTGTTGGGGGGGGGGGAATGGGGGTGATGTGTCATCTTCGGTGGCCACCGCGATCTAACTGGGGGGGCGGGCAGGTTGGTATCACGGGCCCTTTCGAAACCCGATAGCAGAGACCCCCCAAGACGGCGGGGGCCTGCCAGGTAGAACGCCTCTGTGGGGGGGTAGAAATGGGGGTGATGTGCCATCTTCAAAGGTCGGTGGCCACTGCGATCGAGCTGGGGGGTGGGACGGGCAGGTTGGTATACAGGGCCCCTGCGAAACCCGATTGCAGAGACCCCTCAAGCAGAATGCTAGAATGCCATGTCTGTCCCCCGACCCTCCTGTTTCGGGTTCTCGCTCGGACTGGAGCACGGCGGTCGCACACCTCTCTCCTCTCCTTCCCCCTCGCCCTGCCTCAGTCTCCTGCCTCCTTCTGCGCGGCTCCCCTGGGGGACTGCGAACTGCGCCACCCTCGCCACTCTCGTGGGCTCCCCCGGACGCACGGCGGAGTCGGGGAATACCCGCGCGGCGGAATACGGGCTACAACAAGGGGAGGGCCCGAGGCCCCGCGGCTCCCTGCGTGGCGGCGAGCTGCGCGGCTCGTCGCCACCTGCGTGGCCCCTCTGGAGAGCACGGCGGAACAGGGCAAGTGCACGAGGCCTCGCAGCTCCCTGGGAGGCTGCGATCTGCGCAGCTGTCGCCGGTTCCGTGGGCTCGTGGGGGGCACGGCGGAGCAGGCTGAGCAGGGGAGCACCCGAGGCCTCTCAGCTCCCTGGGAGGCGGGAGGCTGCGAAGTGTGCCGCTGCTGCTACTTTCGTGGGCTCCCTGAGAGGCACGGCGGAGCAGGGAGTACCCGAGACCTCTCAGCTCCCTGGGTGGCTGCGAACTTTGCAGCTGTCGCGGCTTTCGTGGGCTCCTGGGAGGCACGAGGCACAGTAGGGGGCCACGCGGATCCAGCCAAGACCTCGCGGTTCCCTGGGAGGCTACGAACTGCGCAACTGTCATCACTTTCGCAGGCTCCTGAGAAGCACGGCGGAGACTAGAGCAGCGCAGATCGTGCATATCTGGCGATGTGCTCTGTTGTATGGAACGTTCATGCAAATAGTCCCCTCCCTTGGATAAGGGGTTGGGTACGTCTCGGGTAATGTTTTGTTTGGTGGGTAGACTTGTACTACGGTAAGTACAGCGATGCAAAAAAGGGTGTCACTTGGGCCTCCCAAAATGGGGCACCATGGTAACACGGGCCCGTTCGCGCCCAGATCGCGGGGATCTTTTGGGTAGAACGTCCGCTTTGGCAGATTGGACGCGTCTGTCTTCAGAGCTCAATGACCACCGCGATGGAGCTGGCATCGCAATTGGGTGAAAGGACACCCCCGACTGATGAGCGCGCGGATAAAACATCCGCTGTCACCTTCGTCATCCACATCAGGAGGTTTCCGGGTGGGCCGAAGGGGCTCTAGATGGTTAAAGAGAAGGGGCGCAGGAGAGAGGAAGGGAAGTCGAGGGAGAAGGAGGGAGAAAGAACAGGGTTTCAGGAGGAGAGAGGAGCGGCAGACGGGGGAGGAGAATCGATGAGGGGTCGAGCCAAGTCGAACATGACTTGGACGCCGATCTATCTAGTCACTCGCTCGGCGCGCAAACCAAGTACTTACCCAGCTCTGCAAACGGAGTCGCATACCCCCCGCTGAGCTCGAACACTTCGCTTCAATACTCATGCACCGAACGGGCCCCTCGGCGATAGCCGCCGGAACAAACAAAAAAACACGTTCCGGGAACAGGTCAGCGGCAGCGGCGATGGTGGCCGATACTTTGCATTAATCCCTGCGGTTTGATATGGCTGCAGGGCTGGCCTGAGGCGCACCCCTGCTCCCAGAAAGGGTGGAAAGGGGGGCCCACGCAGGGGGCAAACACTCTTGAAGGCTCAGCATCATGCCGGGGCTTGGACAACTGCGATGCCAGGAAGACGGGGTGGAGGAGGAGGAGGAGGAGGAGGAGGAGGAGGAGGAGGAGGAGGAGGAGGAGGAGGAGGAGGAGGAGGAGTGGGGAGGAGGAGGTAGGAGGAGCAGGAGGAACGGGAGTAGGAGGAGGAGGAGCACGAGCAGGAGAAGCAGGAGGAAAAGAATGAGATGGAAGAGAGGAGGAGGAGGAGGAGGAGGAGGAGGAGGAGGAGGAGGAGGAGGAGGAGGAAGAGACGAGCGTACAAGGGGGCCCTCTCCAGAAGGAGGAGGAGGAGGAGGAGGAGGACTTCCCAAAGAACTGTCCCTAACCTGCTCAGAGGCGGAGGAGAGGAGGCGCCCGTCGGGGCGGATCCGCAGGGCGCCAGGGCGCGTGGAGGAGCCGAGGCGGAGGACGACAACGAGCCTGCCCCGCGTTCGTCGATGAGCGCGGGGGCCAGGCCCCCTCGAGCCAAGCCCCCAAACAAATCTTGATGGGCGGCTTCTCGCTGTTTTGAGCCTCTGGGATCGTCCCTCGCCGGCCCTGGGGAGCGGGTCGAGACCTCTGGAGGTCGCAGTCATGAAACACCCTCATGACGTCGGGGGTCTGGGACAGGGGCATTCGTGTCAGTGACGACTTCGGCGTCGGTCTGTGGCACCACGTGGATCGTCCCGTCGGCGGCTCCTCGATCGCCGATTCGTTCCGTGTGGGGCCGCCTCTGGGCCTCCCCGGCGGCGTTCGAACGTCCGCGGCGGGGTCGCCGCGCCTGGGCACACAGACAGGCCTACCGCTGGGGGGGGAAGGGTAGCCATAGGAAGGCGCGGGAGCAGGAGCGAAGGGGGCGTTTCTGGCCACGGCGAGGCTGTCGAATCGATGGGGGTGACCGAGAGCTCCGCAGCTGCGCTAAGTGTAGGGGTTTCCGAAATCGCCGATATCGATATAGAAAGAGCGGCTGCAAAGTGAGAACAGTCGCTTCAACGATAGCTCGAATAGCAGAGTGATCTCGGGCCTCTCGAGGCTCGGACCCAGTGCTTTCGAGCTTCGACTACGAAGAGGCTCCCTGACCCAGCTCTGAGGAGCGGCCCGAACTCCAAAGAGCCCCCCCCTGAGCCCGAAGGGCTCCTCAAGCTGCAACGGCTGCTCTGCGAGCCTCCATTCCCAGGTGTCAGCTTCGCCTCCTCGGCGCACCGCGCACTGGGTGGGGTGGGGGGGGTCTGGAGCGCCGCGTGGTTGCGCGCCGTCTTGCCTGCCCACCGCAGGGGTCAGCTTGGGGCCGAGGGCGGCTAGGAAATCAATACCCTCCACCCTACCACCGCAGGAGTACACGTGGCACGCGCACCTGGCTCTTGCACGAAGGAGCTGCGAAGGGCAGGAGGCTTTCGCCTCCTTCCTCCAGGAGTTTCCTTCTGTGGCCGGGGGGGTGGTGGGGAGGACGAACGACGAGCGAACGACAGACGACGAAAGTAAAGACGTCCGAACTCTAGAACACAACTATGCCAGAGAAACACGGTAGAACAGATACTTCCCGACCGCCCTGGGACAGGCGCCCCCCCATCGCGGAACAGAATCCGTCAGTTACCGTTCTTCGCCCGCCAAGTGAAGAAATGCAGACACGTCAAGCCCACGGGCCTCATCGGGGATCTTCTGACCCTGGTCAATCCATACCCGGGTCAACCAGGCCCTGCAGGACCCTGCACGATCCTGCAGGCCCCTGCAGCATCCTGCCACCAAGCCCGGGTCGATGCAGCCCTGGTTCTGCAGCATCCTGCAAGAGCGGGCGCCCTGGCTGACCCCCGTTTGCATGGACCCCATCTCTTGAGCCCCGAAAACTCACTTTTGGACGCCCGAAATGGGTACGGAAAAAATAGGTACAATGCCTAACAACAAATGTTATCCCAAACCAACAGCGGCCGCTGTTGGGCAGGCGGCCTTCTGTCTCAAATGGACACAGGCTGCGGCGGCGAGGACATTGAGCCCTGTTCAAAATAAACAAGATCCGCTGTTGGGCATTGTACCCATTCTTTCCGTGCCCATTTCGCTCGTGCAAATCACTGCCCAGGCGGGCGCCCGGCTCTGGCCAGGCCGGGCTGTGCCTGGCTGTGGATGTCGCGCCAGATGTCCCCGTCGTTGGAGCCCGACAGGTTCCACTGGAGGATGTCGAGGCTCGGATCGGTGTTGCCCGGCATGAGCCTGGGAACTGTGCTGCATCTTCGTGGACCCTGTTCTGTGCCGCCGGGTCCGCAGCCGCGTCGAATCCGTGTCCAGTCCATGCCGGACTCGTCGAGTCCGCGTCGAATCCACAGCAAATCCGCGTCGGATCCACGCCGAGTCCGCGTCGAGTCCGCATCGAGCCCGCGTCGGGCGCAAGAAAAGCCATCAGTTTGGGGTACAGTCGAGGTCCCCCGAAGATGCAACGAAACGGGAGGCTGCCCACGCCAGCACCGATCGTGGCAGGGCTGCTTCTGCACACGGGCTTGGCGCTTGCACTCGAGTCCAGCGTCCAGCACGGAGCTGGCCAGGATCAGTGCGACCCTAAAATTTGCACTGCTCGGGAGCCTGAACTCGTCGATCTCCACGGGGGTGTCGAACGTGACGGAGCACGGATTCTTCACGACGCGCCCGCCTCGGATCGGCTGCCCGCTGCGGAAGAGCGTCAGCGAGTCGATCACCGCCTTATACCCGCTGGAGCCTCCCCGGAGCTTGGTGGCCTCGAAGCTGAACATCCGATACCTGGGCGGCCGAGGGCCCTGCGACGGCGAAAGCAAGGACGCCTCTGATACGGATGCGTTCATCAGCGTCGAACGTGGTGGCACACTGGACGGGCGGTGCATGTTCCACGAGCGCTGCATGGTCCCCATGCGCTGCATGGTCGACGGGCGCTGCATGGTCCCCATGCGCTGCAAGGTTGGGTCCAAGGACTCCGAGCGCTGCATGGTCCCCGAGCGCTGCATGGTCCCCGATCGCTGCATGGTCGGCGACCGGTCCAGGGACTCCGAACGTGATGGCCTCCGCGAGGCCGGGGAAAACGGCGATAGCGCGCCGCCGTCGCCGTCCAGCGCTTGGAAGAAGGACCGTCGGCCGTCGTCCTTCGGGACATCAGTCAAGCCAGAACGGAGACCGCTATCCTGGACCTCTCCCTGGGTGCGCTCTGGCCAGGATTTCGAAGCGAATCCAGCCGTGGCGACGAGGGCCCCCCAAGAGTCCCAGACAGGCGAAAACGAGGGAATCGCATCCCCTGAGAGCCGACGTTGCGAACAAAGTGAAGCATCGCGAACAAAAACGACTGGAGCACTAGCTCCCCACTTTCTGTGACGTTTTCTAGCCGGGAATTGATCTGTGATGGTCCCGAGCAGGGCGAAAACGCATTGCGCGCAAAAATTGCAACGCCCAGACCTCAGGGTCGGCATCGGTATGTTGCCCCGACCTCTTCCCGGGGGTCCCCTGACCAGGATTTCGAAGCGAATCCAGTCGTGGCGACCAGGGCCTCTCCAGAGGCCCAAACGAGCGAAAACGTTCGGTAGCAACTCATTTGAGCCTCCCATGCCATCTTGTCGGCTCTTGCGAATCGGCGCTAATCGACGCTAAACATCGACGCTGCTCGCCGCTAAATCGACACGAATTGGCACTGAACGACGCTAAATCGGCGCTATCTCATCGACTCCCCTACGCTCATCGACGCTAGCCGACGCTGAACACAAATTTACGAGGGTGCACACAGCTCCCATAAGTTGCGACCGAAAAAACGAGGGCATGGCATCGGCACCATCACATTGTCCTATGAGTCTGAGATCTGGCATTGCGAACATGATTGCAACATCGCAACAAAAATCAAAACCAAAGTCCCGGACCGTCCCGGACCCCATCTGACTACCTACCAGACCACCCCAACCCAACCCGAAGACCCGAATTTCGGGTTGGGGGGGGGGGGTTATGGGCTCCATACGTATTTTTTCGATGTTCCCGGACCCCCCCACTAGAAATCGAAGGTAAATCTGAGCCTTCGGGTTGGGTTGGGGTGGTTTGGTGGGTGGTGACCATCATTCTGCCTCATTTTTCGAGCCGGATCGATCGGCCAGGGTCCCGGGGCCCAACACCCGGCAGAAACGCCCGTTGCGAAGAAACTGCCACGCCAGGATCTCCCCAGACCCCAGACCCCCGACGTCGTGACTTGTTCACAACGTCGACCCCCCCGTGGGTCTGGACCCCTTAGACGGGACCCGTTTTTCGTCCTGAATATCGCTGTTTGCCGGGCCCGAGGCCCGGGGAGGGGCCACTCGGAGGCCGAAGATCACGCAGAGCCTCCCCACACACAGCGCAAGGGAGGAGGAGGAGGAGGAGGAGGAGGCGGAGGGGGAGGAGGAGGAGGAGGGAGGGGGGAGGAGGAGGAGGAGGAGAAGGAGGAGGAGGAGGGGAGGAGGAGGAGGAGGAGGAGGAGGAGGAGAGGAGGCGGAGGAGGAGGAGGAGGAGGAGGAGAAGGAGGAGGCAAGATTTCGTCCTCTCCCCACACGGCGCGAGGGGGTCCGGGCTCTCTCGGCGGGGGAGTCCTGGGGCACCGTCGCGGCCCTGCCGCGGGGGCCCCGCGCGAACATGGCCGCGGCGGACAGGAAGGCGGCGCCGCCCTGGGCGCCAGCGGCCTCCGGGGCGCCAGAAGGAGGAAGGAGGAGGAGGAGGAGGAGGAGGAGGAGGAGGAGGAGGAGGAAAAGGAGGAGAAGGGAGGAGGGGAGGAGGAGGAGGAGAGGGAGGAGGAGGAGGAGGAGGAGGAGGGGAGTAGGAGGAAAAGGAGAACGAGGAGGAGGAGGAGGAGGAGGAGGAGGACGAGGAGGAGGACGAGGAGGAGGGCGAAGGCGGCGCCGCCCTGGGCGCCAGCGGCCTCCAGGGGCGCCGCGCCGCCCCCGGCGAGCGCCGGCGGCGGCGGCGGCCAGCACGCGCCGCCGCTCTCCGAGCAGCCCCCGTCGCCCTCGGGGCCGCGGCCCGGGGGCGGCGCGTGGCCGCCGCTCCTGCCGCGCGCGGCGGGCACCAAGGTCTCGAGCAGGGGGCTGGCTGCCCAAGAGCTGCAAGTTTTTTTTTTGTTTTTTTTTGTTTTTTTTTTTCCGCCGCAGGCGGAAGCGCCAGCGGCGGGCGGTCGCGGACGGGCTGCGGCCGCGACTGGGAAGCGGGCGCGCGCGTGTTCAGGGAAACAAGAAGTGACATAAACATAAAAACTCGGAGGTCCGCGCGGATTTCTCGGGTCGGCGCTGGGCCCCCTGGCGGCGCCTCCGGCGCCGCCCCTGGCGCGCTCCGCGCGCCAGGGAGGGGGGTCCAGCGCCGATCCGAGAAATCCGCGCGGACCTCCGAGTTTTATGTGTTTATGTCATTTTTTGTTCCCCTAGTGTTGGAAAGATACAGGCGGAGCTTTCTCGCAACTTCCGGCCTCTGGGGGCCCTCGCAGGAGAGACGGCTCGGGATGAGAAGCTGGTCCCTGGGAGGGGATCGAGATTCCTGGGGGGGCCGCACTGAAAACAACACGAGTTGAGTGGTGCATCCCGGCATTGCTTGTTTCTTCGCCGAGTCTACGAAGGCCGGTGTGTCGACTCCACATGATGTGCGAGCATGCTGCATGTTAACTTGTAGGTTGGAGTAGATCAACTCTTGTCGTCGTTCCCCTGCTCGAACATCCGCGTTCCGCGCCCTCGCGGCCTGGACTCCGGGGCGCGGCCCCGCGGGTGCGCGGACGCGTCGGTGCGCCCCGCGCGGGGCATCCGCGAGGCCGCGCCCCGCATATCCGTGGGGCCGAGGAGGCCGAGGGGCCCGACCCGCGAGGCCGCAAGTGCGGGCATCGTGGAGTCCTCCCGGATGGGGTCGGAGCACAGTCGGGGCGTTGACCTAAGGAACCCTAAATAAGGAACGAGGCCCCTTTGTCCCACAGGTTCAACCTCGATTTCCCGTGGAACACCTCCGGAAAACCCGAGGCAAACTTTGAAACAATCAAGGAACACCGAGCCCCTCCCCAACGAAAAGGGTTCCTTCTTCAGCGCCCCGACTGTAGACGGTGTCAGAGGACCGCGCCGCATCGCCGATGCATCGGCGAGGCATCGGCGATGCACCGCCGGCGTCGGCGGCGCATCGGCGCCGTCGGCGTGGAGGAGGTCGGGCTCCACGTCGAGCCGCATCGCCGATGCATCGGCGATGCGGCGCGATCCTCCGACCCCGTCTGCTCCGGCCCCATCTGGGAGGCCCAGAGCAGGTTCCCCGCCCGCGGTCCTGGGCTGGCGGTCCAGGAAGCTCATGGAGGGCGAGCCGCTCAGAGGGGGCGAGCCCCCGTCCCGGGGGTAGTAGCCGAAGTAGTGCCGCCCCTCCCGGTGCAGGCGCCCGTTCTTCAGGGAGATGTCGTTGATGCTGCTGTCCTGGCCAGGGCCCCAGGGGGACGCCCTCCCCCGGGAGAGCCCAGAAGCGAGTCGATAAGCCGGATCGGCGATCGAAATGAATCGGATCGGCGGAAATCGGCAGCCGAGTCAGGAGAAGTCGAATCGGCAGACATCGGCAGGCTGGCAGGCCTCCATTGAGAAAACGGAGCCCAAATCGGAATCCGATGCCGAATCGAGTCGGAATCGGAAACAGTAAAAATCGGATCGAATCGGAGGAATCGAAATGAACCCTGCCTCCCCGCCCTCCTCCTCGCCCCGCCCGGCATCGTCGTTGCCATCTCTGTCCTCCCCGTCCCCGCCCTCGCCGTCTCGGAAAAGAGGGCCGGCAAACAGCACAACGGCGGCCCCCCTGCCTGGCCCAAGCCCGCTCGAAAAATCGGTCCCCAGACCCCTCCAAGGCGGTCCACCCTGACCCGTTCGGAGGGAGGAAGGAGGAGGGAGGAGGGGAGGAGGAGGAGGAGGAGGAGGAGGAGGAGGAGGAGGAGGAGATGGAGGAGAGGAAGAGGAGGAGGAGGACCAGTGTAAACCCAAGAGTCATCAACGATGTTGGAATTAACCCTCCCTCCAAGCTCCCTCTTCATAGGCCTCTACAGCGGTTCGTTACTATTGAGGGAACTGCCTTGTTGGAAGACAACC